ATATAGATATAGATATAGATTTAAAATCTTAATATATATTATATAGGAATATATTATATTATGTAGACATTACAGTCCGAATATTCGTCCCCTCGTCAATTCGTAAATATTTTCCTATTAAAATAGACTTCTTATGAATGAAACTATGTTTCGAAACCTCCCCAAAATTATAATGCCAAATTTATTATGATTACCTAATTACCGCTAGGTTTTGCAAACAGCTATGCGATCTTTATTTTATTAATTTTGCGGTTTATCCAGCATAATGTCAACAGATGTCAGAACGATTTGCCACTCCCATAATTGGTATATTTGAATATTAACTTTATGTGAAACAGAAAAGGTGTTCAAGGTGTTGCCACGCCCCCCAATACCCTCAATATGTCATATTTTATTGATTTCTGAATTCTTTAGCTCTAATAATACTCAATATATAGCGGAATTAGGGAAAAGCCCCAGGCAAACGTAGACATATAAATGTCGGTCAACGCTTCGAACTTCTAAGCTAGAAGGCGTCATTTAGCAAATCGCGTATGATTTAATCTCGGTGATACGTATTCTGAGTGACCTTCTTCTACAATAAGTAGAGAACATATACATATAATGCTATGGTACAGTACTGATCAATCTATTGAATCTGTCACTTTGCCGAAATTTGTATATCAATTAGTCGTATTCCTAGAAAAAGACAAGACTTGAACAAAATGAATTTCTTCAGCTGTGCTTAAAGATTTCCATTATCCAAGCTTCACTGTATAATGTTACTCTGTATAAGATTATTTTCAAGCAATATTATTGAATGCTATAAAATCTGTAAATGAATACGAATCTTTTTATTTTTTGCCATGGCACATTCTTAATGAATTCTATATAAAATCATTCGATAGAGCTGAGATCAGTCAGTTTATTTGTGGAAGGCAGACCGGTAGCAACTTTATAGAACTGTCTATAAAAATGGAATTTCACTTCTTAGTTACGTTAACGTACGTTGCGTTGGGATGCTTGATGAATACGGTATGCAGCAAATGTCTATATATTTTAAACAGACAAACCAACTCTTCAAAAAACTTCATGGGGCGTCAGAGCTCTACATATATTTTCCATCATATCTTATCAATTTTGACAAAAATCGAAATTGTATAAAATGCATATAAGTATACATATAAAAACATATAAAATTTAGAGACTCTAGCAATAAAGATGTAGGAGATATAAATATATTACTGGTTTTCGATAATGTTTTTAATCAATAACAAAATAACGGAGCTAGTTATCGATATTTAAAGCAAAGCTCGATATGCGCGTGCATATCTAGCTCTTATATCTTCTGAGATCGACGCGTTCAAGCATACGGACAGACGGGCGGACGGACAGACGGACAGGGCTAAATCGACTCAGCTCGTCGCCCTGATCAAGAATATATATATACTTTATGGGGTCTGCCACGCCTCCTTCTGCCTGTTACATACATTTAACAAAACCATTATACCCTGATTTCCCATTGAAAATGGGTTCAGGGTATAAAAATCCGAATTCTTTTCAGAAACCAGTTACATCGTCTGCAAATCCATGGAGCCAATGTGGAGCTTATTGTTTCAAAGCATTACAGCCGCTGCTGGATCATTTGAATGTCGTGTCTAATGTATGCCAATCGATGAACACGGAATCCAGGCTGGACAAGGTCGAAGGTCAGGTAGCCACACAAGCAGGAACTCTAGCCAGCCACGGCAGCGCAATCGAGGAGGTTAAGCTGAAATTGAAGGAGCAAAATACATCAATCGACCGTTGTAGAAAAGTTCCCTCCCTGTTTCAGCGAATCGGATCGAAGTTTTATTACATTGAGCAAGAACAGAAGTTGAACTGGTTTGCCGCGGCACATAAATGCACCACACTTGGCTCCCATCTCCTCACCCTAGCTAATCAGCAGGAACTTGATGCACTTATTCCATACTTAAAGAGCGAAAAGTATTATTGGACTGATATCAATGACCTTGGTGAAGAATCGGTTTACCGATCGCTAACAGCTGGCCAGAAAGCTAAATTCCTGATCTGGCATAGCAACGAACCCAATAAGGTGGGCAAAGAAAATTGCGTTCATTTGTATTTTACTGGGTTTAAAATGAATGACATCGATTGCATTCACCTGTTGAATTTCATTTGTGAATTCGATGGATAGATTTGTAATTTTTGATCTAGCTGGAAAGGAATTTTGTAATATCTGTTATATTTTTTAATAAATGTGCACTGCAAATAAATAATAATAATTAAAAACTTAAAGAGCTAAATTTCCCGCTTCACGCTGTTTTCAAATCTTCCTGCAACAGAACTACATATTAAGAAAGCTAAATCTGGCGGGAAAAAGTCTGAAATAGCATCAGTGCTTACAGGTACAAAAAAGCTTTTGCATGGAGCTGATAGAGCGGGAGAGAGAAAGAGAGAGAGAGAGAGAAAGTGAGCGCGCGCCAGGCCAAAGAGAGAAACAACCCCCAAAAAAGGCTAACGCTGTTGCAGAGAAGATGTATTGCAATTTGCTCCCAAACGAATACATGTGGGAGTCGCAGCAGCGGCAACAACAACAGCAACAGCAAATTTTCAGTTAGCTTTGAGACGCAGCGCAGCGCTAAAGGCAAAAAAGTAATACGGATAGAGAATTTCATTTTTTGGGCCGTTAAATCAGTTGGAAAATGCGTAGTCGCACGGAGCTGGTGACCACCACATTCGATCTGGATTCCGATGAGGAGGACTACAGTCCGGACGACGATGATTCCGAGGAGGATTGGCGGCCCAACAAGAAGCAACGCCAACAGAAGCAGCCGACACGCGCCAATGGCAACAATAACAGCAGCAGCGGTGCTGGCGCTGGCGGCAGCGACGCTGGCAGCGCTGGACGCAAACGCAAGGCAACTGCAACAGCAACGGCAGCGAAGAGCAAGCGACGTACGATTGTGCCCAAGGTAAGCGACGAAGATTTCGAGTCTCTGGACGATGAGGAGGATGACAATAATCTGGAATCGGAGCCCAGTGAGGGCGAATTCGAAAATGTCGCCGCGGCGAGCACTTCGACGGCGAAGCGTGCACAAGGTCTGCCGCCCAAGAAGCAATTCGTCAAATTGGCCCAATTGGATTTGTTGCTCAACAAACGGGATCTGTTGGACGCGAATTGGCTGCTCAATAGTCGGCTCTGTCTCTGGCGCAAGGATGAGCAAACGAATCTGTTGCAGAAATATTTGCGCGTCAAAACGACTGAGGACGCGGCCAAGCCGCAAGAGCAGCAGCTGCTCTTCACTTCCAGCTCTGTGGTAAGCGACTGTACTAAAATTTAACTCCATAAATAGATTTGCCAAAAAAAAAAAAAACAATGTCAACAGGCATAAGTACCGTTGCATTCCAGCTATAATGGTGCTCTCCTCTTTACGCTCTCTTTGAAGGCTGAGCAGAAGCAGTCGCTGGCAGCGATCTGCCGGCGTCGCTGTTAGCAGCGATCATGCTCGCCTGCTATTGGCTATTCACTCATTCCCTGTGCATAATTTAAATTGGCTATTAGAGGGTATGATGATTATGTGTCAATGTATGTAACAATAAAAAAAAAAAAAAAATTCCGACATCTTAGACTATTAATATTTACTATTTATTATTTAAATTTTATTACATAAATTATATTTTATTTGAACTATAAATGGCTCTACAAAAATGACGGGATTTTTAAAATCAAAATAAGTTAGAGATTTTCGAGTAAACTTATATATATATGAGCTTCAAATGCATATCTAATTTTGTTGATATCGTTTCAAATACCATTAATTTATAAATTGACAAACACAAAAAATCGCGTACATAATTTCACAGAATTCTGCTTGTAATATACTCCTAGGATTCTGTCTAATGCATTAGCATTAGCATTATATGGAATATCTTCTTGCCAGCTAAACAAAAAAAAATACCAATCTTTTATAAAATATAATTATTTTATAAAATTCTGGTAATTTCAAGATGTTGCTAGTGCAAAATAATAAAATAAAATATATAAAAACCTTCATATATAGGACTCCACTTGATGTCAACTTTAGGCATCTTGTCATATAATAAAGGATTCTACTTGATCTACTTGCATAATCCCTCTGAATCTGCCAGTTGCCAGGGTAGAAATTTCAATTGCGATAACTAGATTACGATGTGCCGTTAGGAAATACTGAAATGATTTTCACGTTCCATTGGAAGGTCACTAGAATGCAATGTGTGTTGCATATCTCCAGGCTTACGTGTTATAATCACGCAAACTACTTACCCTACTGATCCATAGGTGGCGGTACAGCACAATCGTTCCAATGATTTCAAGTATAATTAAAACTAAATAATATCATAAATATAAAAACTAATTAAAAACAGAAAACTCATTAAAAATACAAAGAAATATTTCATGAATTTTGATATTTTTTTTTAACAAATAATTCTGCCATAATAATAAAATAACATGAATTCAACAAAATACGTAAATAATTTTATGATATATCTAAAAATTCATTTAATTTATCTACATAAAATATTCATTCTTCTTAAGACAAATTATTCAAGTTTGATCATCAGTTTGTTTATTAAACGTTTCACTATTCCTCTCAGTATTCCAGCTGGGATGAGCAGCATATTAGTGATTTCATAGATGTCAAAGTCAACTGCTTGGATCCTAACAATAGACGCATTCAATTGGCTGATCTAGAGGCCATCAAGAAACTATCTATAGAGCTACAGGCGGAGGCGGCGGCGGAGGCAGAGGCGGCGGCATCGGCAGCAAATGAACCGAATCCAAGCGAGGCCAACGATGAGAATGATAATAATGAGAGCACCGCTGATCAGGAGCCAGCTGGAGCAGCCAAGCAGCAGAACGAGGATGTGGGGGAGGAGGAAGACGACGATGACGACGACGATGATGATGAAGATGAGGAAGATGTGGATGAAGATGATGAGGATGGGGACGACGATGAGGACGAAGGATAAACGATAAAGAAAACGAAACTATTAATGATATACATATTTACAAAGGAAAAACCAAACGAGTTCTATACATAATTCCTAGAAGTTAATTAGAAAGCCAAGTTAGCGTTAGAAATCGAATTAAAAATTTTGCGGCATTGTGAAAACGACTTTAAATTTAATTTAGTAAAAACAATTTCAAATATCAACGTAATTCGCAACAAAATACATTGACATAATTAATTGCAATTTGATTTGCAATGCAAATAATATATATACTATATATATATAGTTATTATTCTGACTGTATTCATGGAGTTTTGTCTCTTGGTTTTCGTTTCGTAATGTCTTTTGAGAGACTGTGTAAGTTTCTGCACAGATCTGTGCTGTGGGAGTTGGGCTGAGGCTGAGGGGTTGGCAGACGGATTTTGTTTTCTTTGTTTTGGGTTTTTGCTTGATGGGGGCCGGTTACCGGCGACGTTCACCCTTGACGGTTTTGCGTTTCTCTTTCTTTTCTTCGCGCAGCTGCTTTTGCTTCTCGCGATCCTCTTTGTCCTTCTGCTTCTTGGCCGCACTCTCCAGACGCGCCTGCTCACGCTTCTCCTTGGCCAGATTGGCCACATCCGACTTGTTGGTGTTGGGCGCCATGACACTGGACCCGCTTGGCTCGCCGCACTCGCCATCTGTGTTCTCATCCTCCTCCTCGCTGACAGCAGTCTGAAAGCAGAGCAGATCAAATGTGAGACACTTGTGTGCATATAAATAAAAGGAATATCAATTAAAACCTGTGAGTATTGCGCTAATATTTGCTGCTTAATGCGCAGCTCCTCCTCGGTATATTCGCGCTCTTTGACGGCGGGTTGGAGCTTTTGCTGTTCGAGCAATTTGGCCAGCTGTGCGTTCACATCGATGTCCAGACCCTTCTTGGGCGGCTCATCGGCGCTGGGATGGCTCTGTAGCCACTTCTGTAAGATGCTGGCCACCAGCTCCTCTATGTTGGAGGCCTGTTGCATAGGATTTGCTATATGAATCGGTTAATTTCTCTTAAATTCCACTCACTTCGGTGCCGCTGAGTATCCCTTCGAGTGCCTCGATTTTCTCATCTTGTGTCTCCTCCTCGCCCTCGAGAATGCCAATGATGTATGCACCAAAGACGCTCTCATCTGTATTGAGCTGGCGGAGCTGATCGTTGAGCCACGTCTGAAATTCGCTCATCTTAAATGCAGCAAATGGGGGCCAGCAATTTCTATCCAGTTGTCCGGGCAAATAAAAGCCGCAAAAGGCAACTAAATTCGGCACAGCATGTGCAGCAGTGTTGGCAAATGCTAAAAGCCAAACAAACAGCTGAGCGAATATCGTGAACAAATGGTAAAATTATTTAAAATGAATAGATGAAAATAAAATCACTGCAAAGTTATGCAAGTCAATTATTTGCTTAGCACAAAATTGTAATACTTTGACATTTATTTAATATTTTCAGCAGTCCCTGTCAATGGCACATAAATACAACTATCGGTATCTACGCAACTGTTACGTAGCGCTGCCCAGCTGTGCGCAACAGTTGTGAACGCGTGCAGTGCTCGGTGAGCAAGTGTTCAACTAGTGTTATTAAACGCTGCACATTTTAATATTGTTATTTTGTTTGTGCGCTGCTGTTTAATACTTAATTTAAGGCTTTTTAAATGTGTGTTTCTTTGAATGATGTATTTACTATTCAAATAGCCGACGAATAATTACGCAAATGCTGTTAAATGTGAAATGTGTGGGAACTTGCTGCGGGCTGCGCATACTCACCATACCGCTAAAGCGACAAGAGTATGCAGCTGTTTGTTTTTGTTGCAATACAACAACAATAACAATTGAATTTCATAAACAAATTCCAGGTGCAATGCCAAGAAGCTGAAGACATTTTACATTGCGTTTATACAATTGTTACGTTTAGTGCGTAATTGAAAGTGTCTTGTGTATGTGTAGGTATGTATATGTGCGTGTGCGTGTTTGTTTTATTCGTATTCTGCGTCTCCGTCGCTCTGTCATAATTTAACTACGACAACAAAAATAACAACAAGAAGAAGTCGACACCTGCGTTTTGTTTGTTTGTTGTTGGATGTGTGAGCAGGCGTCATAAACAAACTCTATGCGAATCCAACACACGCGCAATTGCTCACTCAACAGTTAGCAACAAGTGGACAGTTAATGTTGTTGTTGTTCCTGTTGATGTAGATAAAGCAAACTTCAATTCAAACTCGGATTTGCATCCAAGTAATCAAATCGCCAGAATCTCCAGCGCCGCCTCGTTGAGTTTATGTTTACCAGGTGAGCTATTTAGTAAAATATATTTATATCGTATTTAAATAAAAATAGAGTGTGTATAGGAATTTTATTTATATATTCCAATTGGCTGAAAATGCTTATCTGATTGGATTCTCATAAGACAGCGTCCAATGCAGCCTGTTGCACAGTTTTTAAGCAATTAAATAATACTTATTAGCTGAAAGTTAAATGAAAACAGAGTTTTTCTAATGATTAGAAAATGCTTAATATAACTAACGAATTCAATTATAAATACAAACATTTCTAAAATGATTAAAGAAAAATATTTAAAAATGCTGGATTGTTTTTACATATTTTAAATTTCTTACAAATCATGAAAGCTAAAAATATTTTTAAATGATGAGTTATTATTAAACATTTTAAAATATTATATTCAACTTATAAATAAAAAAATTAAAAAATTAAAAAATGAACCTAGTTCATTATAAAGATTAATTAATATACCACCTAAATTAAAACTAAATGATATCATATTTTTTAATATTTTCATATTATATCATATCATATTTTACAAATATGAAAA